CTATTAACCTAAGGCTTTGCAAGTAGTGAAAAGATTTTCAAGTTTAATCAAATAATTGCGACAAACAACGGCTAATAGGATAAGACGACAGGTCAGGTCAGGGCTTTGTGAAGACGTAAACATCTTTTTCTGAATAACATATAAAATTTATGAATTCACATGAAAATTTAAATTTCAGCTGGCCATTGAGCTTAAGAAATAAAGCCATTAAATAAATTCTTTAATCCTCTTTACGAATTATTATCATTAAAATTATTTACAAATTAATACTTATATTTAAGTTAGCCATTTAGGTTAAGAAATAAAGCCGGTTTATAAATTCTTAAATTTTCTTTACGAATTATTGTCAAGAGCTATAACATTTCTTAAAAATTATTCAGCTTGTTTTATGATTATTATAAATTATTAAATTTCTTTAAGAATTATAATCAAGAGCCACTCAATTTTTTTAAATTAATTGAGCTTGATTTTCTTTTAGTTAGAAATTATAAAGTTCTTAACCAATTATTATCAAGAGCTATAAAATTCTTAATAATATATTAAACAAAATTTACTAATAATTAAGAATTATTAACATTAGCTATCAAATTTCTGTTATACTAAGAGATGTGAGAATAATATTTCCAACTGTTGAATATGAACCGCCATTTACAGATGACTTAAACACTATCTATTTTATCTATCTATACACATACATTCAATCTGAGCTCGGATTTATATTTAAGCTTAAATAATAATACAAAGGTATATTTATTTCGCGATAGATAAATAACTGTTTGCTGTAGATAAATATATATATACAAAGTTACATCGGCTGTAATATTATTTTTATTATTTTATTTTGAAGCCTGTTACAGTTTTCCGTAGCACTGTGCACTGTCCACAGCTGGTGGCAGAATCTGTTCTATGCAAATGAAAGTACGTGAAAATCAACAGCTTCTCGCAGCAGCAGCAAAAAAAAAAAAAAAAAAAAAAAAAAAAAAAAGAGAAAACAACGTTAGCAACAATCACAATGACAATGCCAATCGATCAATCTTATTTAAATGCTGACAGTTGTCGTCACATTGTGTCTAAGCAGGGGATTGGCGCTTGTTTGTCGCCGCCATTTGGCTGGAAAGGATTGGAGTGGTCCCTGGCAGGAGGACTTATTGCTGAGCCGCATTAACTTTAATTTGTTGAGCAAACAACAACTGTGCACCTGGCCAAATGCCAGCTTAAGTCCCGCCCCCTCCTCCAGCTGTCAGCTGCCAATCTCAATGGCATGCAAATTATTTATGCCAATCGAGATGCCAGCACACCGATGATCCGAAAAACTGGACATTAAGCGGAATCTCGCCAACAGCAGAAAAGTCGCGAATTCCCTCCATCAATCCATCAATTAGGGCTGAGCATGAGATAGCATTTTGAAGACACTATTTTCTTGCACTCCCCATTTTGACATGATCTTGATTGATGGAACTTTGCGCAGATTTTTAGCTGCTGTCCAAGATGACTTACTTTATTTTTATAGCTTTATGGTTTACATAGCAACAGGAATAGATATTGTTATACTAGGCTAAGTAAGTGAGTTTCTCTTGGTTTCCTTGCTCACCTCGGCCCTCGCTCGAAAGGTGTTCACAGATTTTTATTAAAATCTTCCATCTATACTATCGATAGCTTTACAGCTACTACTGAAATATCATTCCCCCATGCCTTCCCCGCTTACCCGCTCACCGTTAACCAAAGCGCAGCGAAGCAAACTTTTACTTTTGTTTAATTTCACATAAACATATTACCCTGTGCTATTTTAGAATTAGAAATAAATTACATTGGTTTCCGTTTGAAGTTGCAGGGGAAACTCTCATTTGCTTTCCTCTCCACCAGCTCACATCCGCTAAAAACTTCATCTACTTCGGACTCTGGTTTCTAATTTAAACTAAACTAAATTATTCGACATGTTTTCTGTACATCAAATTGATGTTTGTTCAAAAAGCTGTAATTTGTAGCAAGGCAATTAGAAAATATATCCCTTTTTTTTTTGACCCAAATGCAATCTGACATGACACGAACTAAACCAGCAATAGTCGTTCGTCGTCCTTCGTCTTTGTCCTTCGCCTGTGACATGTGTATATTTAGAATCTCAATAAAATAACCAACCCGTGACGTCCTTTGGCCGCTCTTATTTATTGTTGCAACGCTGTAAATTGTCTGTACAACTTTCATTAAACATAAAATACACCACGAAGTCTACGGCAGAACTAGTTCGATAGCTAATTAAGTGCTGCCGCCGTAGTCCTTGACACAACTTGCAGTAGTTGTTGATAAATGCATTGTCAACATCTATCCAATTGCAAGGGCTTTAGCTGAGATATTTTACAGTTTCTTCTTCAATCTGAAGATTGATCAGTTGTCATCGCAGACACAGACACAGACATTGCCCCGAGCTGAGCTCAGAGTTCATTTTGAATTCCCAGAATTGGTGGAGGTTGTCACAATATTTACAATTAGTATTTGCCCTATGACTTGCTCTCGGGCGGTTTATCAATTTGTGTTTGCGAAACAGCAGCAGTTAAGCCTCTTATGTGGGGCCCGGACGGCGGCCAGACGGCGGACAGTGTTTAGTACGTCCTCGCAAAGCTCTGCGGTGAGTCGGCTGCTTGCTCATTGGCTGCTACGGGCACGGACTTAATTGAATTAGTAGTGTCCTTTGCGCGTCACTTTGAAGTTTGCACTTTGCATCCGCCTACGGCGTGGGCTTTGGACGGACCCGTGCGCGACGCTTGTTGACCATCGCGTCGAGTAAAGGACCCAACCAGCCAGCCGGAGCTTGTTGACGTTTGCGCTTAAGCGTAAACTCGACTGCCGGAAGAGGAGCGGCTTTATTGAATTTCCGGCAGCACAACGCACTTACAACGTCAGCCGTTCGAGGGCATTAATTATGCCACAACGACAAGAGGAAGAGTGAGCGAACGAGTGAGGCTACTCATCCAGGATACTAAAAGCGGGCCACTAAGTCCAGCTCTATTCAACTTCAAACTTTAACCCGCTTTAAATATGTCCTGCGCTTTGGCTTGAGTGCTGACTGATCTGTAATCGTCGCGAAATCCGAACATTAAGTTATTTAGTTGGCAATCCTGGCAATCCTGGCAATCTGGCTGTATGGCTCCCAGTCTGAGTGGTTCACTAAGCACAACGAACAAGTCAATTTAAGCTGGTGACTGAAGGACGAACAAGGATAATCGCACTGTAAAATACTTTACTTTGTAGTGCGCGTGTGTGTGTGTGTGTGTGTGTGTGTGCGTCTCATCTGTTCCGACTCTAACATGGCCATAAAAGGCATCGAAATTGAAAAGGCTGAAAGACAGCAGAAACTCACTTCCTTCTTCTGACAAGCTGACTAAAACTTATAGCTAACAATTTATGTTGCATTTGAGCTTTAATATCTCAAAGTAATAACAGTGGATAATAGATATAGTTGATGCAGAAAGGGAGCGAGAGAGAGACAGAAGGAGAGAGAAGGATGGGAGAGATAGAGGCGGGCGGCAAAAGTAAATATTTCGATATAGATTTAGTAAATGCATTGCTTAAAATCAATATTGTTCTCAGCTGCAGATTTTTATTGATATTTCTACGGATTTTCGTTATGAAAAGGCTACAGCTTTCAGGTGCTTTGTTATAGTTGTATTGAAAACTTTTAACACTGAACCTTAGTGAGATTTGGCTTTGTTGAAACAAGCGGGCAGGGGCGCAGCGATAATGGGAGTAATGCTCATGGCCATATTAGCTCGTATATATATGGCGAATGAGTGCATATACCTATCAATATTATATTTTCCGAATGCATTTCATTTTTCATTTCATTATGCATTCCCTCATAAATTGTAAAATAAAAGAGACTCGATTCAAACCACTCTTACCCGAAAGATTTACTTTTACATGATGATGAGTCTCTCCCTTTCTAAAGCATAAAAATATATAAAAACAGATTAGGATTATGCATGCAAAACACAATTTCATAGAGTAAAAACACATTATTTAAGCATAATAAACAGATTTTTAAGGCCACACAAAAATATAAATCATAAGAGAAAAAATAAAAAAATAATTTCCCATACAGTTTGTCGAATTCCGCAAAAGCTGCAAAAATTCTTTGATCGCCAGAGAAGCTTAACAATCAAATATTCTTGGTAATCTTGAATATTTATGTGCCACACGAAACACTTGAGCACATGCCTATCTAAATCTATGCAAAATTAAATAATATTTAATTCCCTGACAATGGTATCAAAGCCCACTCAATGCAGACGATGATTCTGTTGAATTGTCTTGTTCCTACTCTGCCTTCTTCCTTGCAGCTTTTTCGTATTTATTTAGAAATTTGAAACTTGTTTCGCACTCACATATGAGCAAATATGTATATAGGGATTTCCGCATCTATCCATTTTCGCCTTGCATCGCTTCTCGGGCGAGTGGATGGCAAAAGGCAACTAATCAAAAATAGAGTCGAGCACACAGTAAAAGGTTAGGCATGACAGTGAAGGATGCTGAGCTGCCATAAGAATAAGAGCAGCTATTAAAAAATAATACCAAGCTGGTTGCAAATGCGGATGCAGCTGCAAGGCGAATTTTTGTCTGCTTGGAATCTATGTAAATTAGAAGGTAATACCTTGGGCAGTCCCTGAGCACAGAATGTCTGCTGTCGACTGTCTGCTGTCCTCGGGAATATGCAGATGTACTTTTTATTTCATGTTTTTTTGTTCTTCAATAAAATGCATGCCAAGTACGCACAGAGCGTGCATGCAATATACTTGCTTCTTTCAGAGGGATATCAGGGCAGTGATGGAGTGGGCGAGGCACTTCTAAATTGAATCGATATGCATGCAAATACATACATATCCAGGGCAGCCCGCTCAATGAATGCAAAGGCTCTTAAATTTTGCCCGATTGTATATTTTGTTTGCAATTTTCTATTGTTTTACTTATGCGCTTATTTGGCCCATTATTTATTTATGCATTTTCAGACGCCTGGACGCTGGCTGATGAGCGCTTGAAAGCGCGGCCAAGTTTTCTGTTAAGCTGCGAGCAACTCAAACAAAGGCCATAACCTGAACCTGAGAAGTGAAGGCGGCGCAGGAGCAGAAGCAGGAGCAGCAATACGAGCAGGAGCAGCAGCAGCTGGCAGGCTATGGCATCGCGTCCTCTCAGCGCGCTGGGCAAACACTCGACGTCGACGGCGAGGACATCGCCCCAGTTGATGGGGCGGCGGATGATTATGAGCTTTGACCCGTTGCTTGTTTGCGTTGCAAATTGCAATTATGTGAGCGAACGAAAAATGATTATCTACTCTTCAGCGAGCAGGACAGCAACTGCACAGACAGTTTAATCAACGCAACAGTGAGTCGAAATAATGTCAATGCCTAAGGCAGGGCACGGCCCAAGCAGAGAGCTTACAGCGGCGGCATTGCCCACTTCAGCTATGCGACGGCCTAGCACATCGATGGCTATGCTAGCAGCTGGTGGTGCAGCCGCCACAACAACAACAACAACGGCAGCAGCAGCAGCTGCAGCAACAGCCATAGCCAATGGTCGTGGCGGCAACTTTCTGTTAACTGCAGCAGCAGCAGCTGCAGCCACCACAACAACAACAACGACGACGACAATGGGAACATCAACAACTACTTTGCAAGCAACAACACGATTTGTGGACGCCTCGTTGACTTCGCTGTCATTAACGGCATCATCGACTTCATCGCCGAGCGGTGCATCTTCCGCGCTGCCATCCTCTCCGGCCACCGCCCTGGAGCTCCTCTCCACGGTCGCCAGCAATCTGACAGCGAACACGAGTACCAGCCTCGGCAGCGTGGAGCTGGAGGGGGACAGCTGGGTGGACGTATCGCTGTTGCTGCTCAAGGGCTTCATCTTTTCGTCAATTATCCTGGCCGCAGTGCTGGGCAATGCGCTGGTCATCATTTCGGTGCAGCGCAACAGGAAACTGCGGTAAGCCAATCGCTCCACAGAGAATGCACTCTTTATGAGCAACTAGAGCTTCGATGGGAGGTCGTAATTGCTCGAGGGAAATGGAATATCGTAAGCAAATGTAAATAGCATTGCAAACACACAAAGGGAAAGTGGAAGGGTGGAAAGTGCAATTGTGAATCGAGAAGCATGACGAGAAGAAATGCGAGAAAGTGAGCTCTTACTTCCTGCACATCTCATGTATGGCATCTGATGTGGTATATGATTAAATTTATTATAGACCCAGCCGTCAGTGCAACACGCCCATTACAATGCTCACCTCTCGGCCTTCGAGTTAATTACAATTGCGACAGCACAGCATAAATAAGATAAACAACAACGGCGAAGCCCTTTATAAACTGTTTACATACTCGTAAATGCAATTTAAATGAGCGGCAAGTGGAATAATGGAACACAAAGTGAACAAAAATATCACACACGTTACGTTGCCAATGACAGAGCACCCCAGAGAGCAAAAGAGAGAGAGATAGAGAGAGAGAGAGAGAGTGGGGCCGAGAGAGGGAGAGAGGCGAATGCACAAAACTGTAGCATACTATTGGGGGCAACTTAGTTATGTATGCACATGTGTGTGCGTGTGGCGCTGTGTGTGTGTGTGTGTCAGCTCCTGTGCTGCAACATTTATGCGAGCCACTGTGCCATGAATTTTGGCAAATGTCTTCCCTTTATTATTACACAGCCTTTCAAAAAAAGAATGAAACGAAAGGAAAACCCCCGTCAGAGAGAGTAAAATTTTTAAAATGTGAGTGATAAAATGAATGAGCACTTAAGGCTGAACTCACAAGAGCAGACGAACAGTAAACAACATTATGAACATTTGCCAGTAAAATTCTGAAGTGGAAATTAATATATGTATACAATATATATATATATATAGTGTAATATTGCAAAGCTTAGTGGCTACTCAAATACGCCCATTGACGGCTTGGCAAATTGAGAAATCTTTAATACTGAAAGTTCAAGTGTTTTAAAGCTAGAAACTCAAAGTTCAATAAGTAATTTATTGTTGATATCCCCCACATAATATATATACACCCCTATACACCTGAGGAAAAAAAATTTATAGTAACAGTAATAGTACTCTTGGACACAAAAAACTCTATATTTTTAAAGCAATTCAAAACGAAAATTAACATTAATATTTATTTATTGATATTTATAATTTACATATCAATATCAATATCGTAATATGGATCTGACAGCGTTAAGGCCGTAAATGAGTATTCTGCAGTCGGTAATGTTCCACTGCGAATCACACTTTAATTGAATGATCATAAACTAAATTAAAAAATTAAATATAGTCTAGTCTCGATAATTCGTACTCCGTTAAATCGAAAAACCCAATATATCGAAAAGAAATTCGTTCTCGATAACTCTCGATAATTTGAATATCTCTGTAAGTCGAAAAAGAGCTGATCCCCTTGCCATTTCGAATTATCGGGACTCTGTTTATATTTACAGTAGTTATCTCGAGTAAGTACATTCCAGAAAATGCAGCATATTTCAAATTCAAATCAATAAAATTCAATGATCATAATTATCATAAATAGCAGCATTAGCAGCACAGAAACAGAGACTCTAAGCTGCGTTTGTCTCTAGTCAAAGCATTCATAATTGAGTACTGCAGCAATGTCCTTTGTCAAAGACAATAAAACTTGCATGAGACTAGTCCCCGTCTTAAAAATGAATAAGTTTAATAAGTAACAGGAAGCAGGCAATCAAGCTCAAAGTAACTGAAATAGTTTCATCAATGCTGACGAAAATATTTATCGCTGTCTGAGCAGGAGAATTTCGTATTCGTGGCATGAGCTGGCGCATAAACGCGACACTTGGGGCAACTTGGCTGGCTCAGGCACTGCAGCGGGTGCATAGCTAGTCAAGCGAATGACTTATGGCAGTCAAGGATGTAGAGAAATTGCTGCATAGAGGTGAGCTAGCTGGAAATGGAGTGCACTGAGGGCGAATGCGAGTCGGAGATGGGCCTGCTGCACTGCAAGCAAATGCAATGTCATTTGCTTGACATGGCTTTTACTGTGTGGGCGGCTTGTGGCTTGGTGGCTTGGTGGTTTAGCGGCTGGTGGCTGGTGGCTGGTGGCTGGTGGCTGGTGGTTGCTGTGGAACGTAAGCCGCAATGTCCATTTAATGTAGCGCTTTCTTTTGTCTCGCTTTGCAGCGTTATAACAAATTACTTCGTTGTCTCGCTGGCAATGGCCGACATGTTGGTCGCCCTCTGTGCGATGACGTTCAACGCATCCGTGGAGCTGTCTGGCGGCAAGTGGATGTTCGGGCCGTTCATGTGCAACGTATACAACAGTCTGGATGTATATTTCTCCACAGCGAGCATACTGCATCTGTGCTGCATATCCGTGGACAGGTGAGTGTACGCCCCCCCCTCTCCACCACTCAGCAGGCAGCATTAAACGCAAAATAAGCACACTTGGGCGTGCAACTGAAGGCGCTTTAAATAGCGGCTCCATTAATCTTGTGGCCAGAATCTCACTCTGCCGGCAAGAAACGATTAATTACCGTGAAAGGCGCGCACATCAAAAGCAAACATTGAGCCCGGCCGTATGATGAATGCGGCCCAAATGATTTGCACACCAGCAATGGGCCATTCGACTACGCCCCTAAGTCGAGTCTGTAACCGTTAATTGGAGCTGTTGGCTAAGAGGAAGCCCAAGCAGCAGGGACCCACAACTGAGCAAAAAAAAAAAAAAAAAAAAAAACAAGCAACAGCAATAGCGAATGCCCAGTGGCCAATGGCTGGAGCCTTTGTTTGTCTGCTTTAATTAATTTATATTTCGCACACCTTTCGAAGGCCCTGGCAAAACACGCAAAACCCACAAACCCGAAAGGCAGCAAAAATAACAAAAAGAACGCGCAAGAAATTGAACCAAATTAATTAATACTTCTTCCCATCGAAATTCCTGTGAAACTTCAATAAACAAACGATTCTTATGAGTATGAATATGAGCATGAGTATAAGTATGAGTATGAGTATGAGTATGAGTATAAGTATAAGTGCTTCAACTGATTTTTCTCTGCCGATAAGCAGAAGGCTCAAGCTCCAGCCTCTTCGTTTGAGATAAGCTATTTACAACGAATATCTGCCCTTTGTATTATTTTTAATTAATTATTGCACGAGCATAGCTCTCACAATGTCTGCGCATTTCTATAGTCCATATATAAGACATTCATATAAAATCAGTTTCAAGTTGTATAACTACAGAATGAATTATGAATAAAGCATCGACAAGCTGAGACTTATATAAATATATACATATATATTTTTGTTATATCTTTTAAAAAAGTCAATAGGAATGTATTCAAATAAATATATGTACATAAAGCAATTACGCGCTGCAGTGCTCTTAATGCATCCTCTGGCCCAGGAATATTTTCATACGCCCCGTGCAACATTGTTCAATGAAGAATTTCTTTCTTTTTTTTTTTTTTTTTTTGGCTGCTGCCTCACTGCAGATACTATGCGATAGTGCGTCCCTTGGAGTATCCGCTGAATATGACACATCGAACTGTTTGCTTTATGCTGGCCAACGTCTGGATACTGCCCGCCCTCATCTCGTTCACGCCCATTTTCCTGGGCTGGTACACGACGGCGGAGCATCTGCGCGAGGTCTCGCTGCATCCGGATCAATGTTCGTTTGTGGTCAACAAGGCCTACGCTCTCATCTCCAGTTCAGTGAGCTTCTGGATACCGGGCATCGTCATGCTGGTTATGTACTGGCGCATCTTTAAGTAGGTCTCCCCCATCCAGCGCCCGTTCGGCTGAGTGTACTGAAATTGTTTTATAATTCGAACCATTTGTGGTCTGCTGCTTCCAGGGAGGCTGTGCGTCAGCGCAAGGCTTTAAGCCGCACCAGCTCCAACATTCTGCTGAACAGCGTCCACATGGGCCAGACCCAGCAGCCCACCAGCCTGAGCTACTTGCATCCCAGCGACTGTGACATCAGCGCCAAGGCGGCTCGAGAGGAGACCAACAGTGCGCTCAGCAATCTCGAGGTATGTTTGTATTTGTAATGGAGCCGTCGATTCCAATAACTAATGATAACAAAGGTAAAGAACTCGGGTCACGATTCCATTGAACTCCCATAATATCTGTGTTGTGCTTCACTTGAATACGCTCAATGCTCTACAATATTCAAAAGGTATTCTTTAGGAGTTTCGCCCGCAGCAGTGCATGAATGTTGTGAATAGATTTGCATATAATTTTTGGCAAAATTTATTGAACACGTCTGGAACAGTCCATCGAGCAATCGCAAAGGTCAAATGCTGACTTTGCTCAAGTTTATTTTCAGCCCTCAGCGCATTTTTATGGCTCGGCGAGAGAAAAATAAGGAAAAACGTATCGAAATTCTGTTCGCTTATTAAATTGCATTTCTAAGAATTTGAAAACGAATATTTCGAGCAGTGTACTTAATAGTCTCCTAAGTAGCTTTCGATTCTGAAGGCGAAAAAGGCTCAAATAATTTGAGGTAGGGAACTGTCCGCCTTACAAATAACATTTATTTATGCAAATGCAAAAACAAATATTCCTTTGATAGGCCAAGAGAATATTTTTTAATAGAGACAGAAAAAAACTTTAAAAAATATTTACATGTTCTTATTTTTTAGAATTGCATTGCGAAAAATGCAAACTAAATATATTTAAATTTTTAAATAAATAAAAAATTTGAATATTATTTCTGACTTATAGACATACGAGTTCAGATAACTTTCGTAATTGTGTTATTTTCGGTCCAACATGAGCTCATTATTTACTGGCCTTTAATGTGCTTTCATGGGTTTAACAGGACATGCTGCAGACAGCCACTGATGAGGACGACGATAAGGACGAGTGCGATGAACTGCGTGTGCCATCGCCGCCACCACGCCGTCTCAGCCGCAGCAGCATCGATCTGCGTGACCTCGAGCAGGAGCGCTACGAGAAGGTCACGCACACGGACAGCGCGCCGTCGATGATGGCTCTGCAGCAGCAGCTGCTGCCAGGCGCCAGCCAGCTGCAGGCGCCGGTGCCAGTGCTCGATCCGCAGATATGGGGAGAGACGCTGGCAAAGAAGCCGGTGCCGCAGCCAGCCGTGACGGCAGCTGTGGCCGCCGAGGCAGCGGCGGTGCAGCAGCAGCAGAGCCTGACCAGCGGCAGCGGCAACAGCGAGCCAGAGCCGGAGTCCATGGCCTATCGCATGTTCGGGCTGAACAGCGATGAGAGCGAGACGACGGACCACTATGACACGCACCTGCCCCTGGCCGAGGACAACAAGGAGCTGAAGCGACTCATCGAGGACAACTACTTGTACTTCAAGCGGCAGACGAACGCGGCGGGCGGCAAATATGCCGCGCTGAGCGAGTCGGACTTCATACGCCTCAAGTCCGGAGCCGCAGCCAGCGGGCAGAAGGCGTTGGCTGCCAGCGACTCGGAGTTCATGCGCAGCATCGGCGAGGCGAAGGCGCCCGATCTCCCCAGCAAGGACAGGGGCTTCAATCTGATGTCGCTGCTGGCCAAGACGAAGCGCTCCAGCGCCGAGTGCTTCGCCATCGAAAAGAAGCGCCAGCAGGCCAACTCCGAGGGCTCCGGCTTCTTTCGGCGATCGCGCAATCGCAAGCTCTCGCACAGCTACAATGGCGGCGCCGGCGGCAGCGGCGGCGCCAAGGAACGCAAACTTGAGCAGCGGGCGCGGCAGCACAGCGACACCGACTCGACGCCCAACAAGCCGGACATCCTGCTGGACATAAACGTGCTCAGCGAGCAGAACGCGGCGGCAACTGCGCCGGATGGCCATGGCCTGCAGCTGATTGACTTTGGCAACGATGCAATCGTGGGCAACATCAATGGCATCAGTGGAATCAGCGGCGATGAGCTAGCCCAGCTGGCCGATTGCTTCGCCGAGTCACCCAAGCAGCCGGCCACGCCGCCACCGTCGCTGTCGCCGCCCGAGCTGCCCGAGCAGAGCGGCATGCTGATCGCGAGCAGCTCGGAGCTGGCCGAGATCTTTCGCTCGCTGAGCTTTCCCATGGGCGAGCAGTGCAGGTCCAGGCGTCAGGCGGCGCCGCAGCGCATGAGCACGCTGAGCGATCAGGTGTGCTCCAACTATATGATGTCCCCACCGAATACGCCGGCAGCAGTGAGTGCAGCAGCTGCCAATGCTCCCCCATCGGCGTCCATCAACGTGTACTTCCTGTCGCCGCCGCCGCACGCCGCCAATGGCTATACGCCAAGTGACACATCCACCATATCACTGGACGTAGTCACCAATCTGGCGGTGCCGCAGCCGCAGCTGCAGCCGCATCCGCATCCGCAGCCATCCAACATATCACCCAAGCCCGAAATCATACTCGACTCGACGCTGTCGCCAGTGGACGGCAGCGATGGCCATGTCCTGGGCGAGCACAAGGACATCACATCGCCGCTGCTGAAGCGCAAAGATAGCAACGCCGAGGCGGATGTTGGCGCTTCCGGCGGACGACAACGCTGCAGCATGCTCACCGGCTACGAGGGCATTCAGACAATGCGGAAGCGGCAGGCGTCCGTGGTCACTTACGATGTCAACGTTATCAACTTCACCCAGGAGCATGGCGACAGTCGCAGCTACATACCCATGGGACGTGTCTCCACCAGCTCGGCAAGTAAGTACGGGCCAGCCCAGCCCATCCACCCCCGAAAATATTACAACGGAGCGCCATTCAAGCGACTCGGGCATGGGCAACACTTCAGAATGGTCAGCAGAGGTCATGGTCAAGGTCGTTGCGTCTGAGGGCTTATCGGAACTTGAGAACGCCTTCTCGTATATTTTCTATTGAATTATATGCGTAATTTATGTTGGACTTTATTTATGGGCGTTATCCATATACTTAGCAAAATTTGAATGAGAACTTAAATTTTAATTCATCATTTGCAGCTGAGTTTCAGATATGTCTATACGAAATTTAGTTTCAATTTTCATTTTATTTATATTTTAATAAATGTGTGTACTTTTATTCATTCAATTATAATTTTTAAAAATGTATTTTGTTTCTGTGTTTATATTTAAACTTATAAATTAATTATAATTTTAAAAATGTGTTTTGTTTTTTTTTTATCGTCATTTAAACTAATTTATTAATTATAATTTACCAAAATATTTGGATGGCAATATTAATTGTTTTAATTATTTTTTTTTTTTCTGTTGGGCTTGGAATTTTTTCTAATCCAAATTTAATTTACTTATAAGTCAATTTATGTATGTTTTTACATTAATTTATTTTTAAATTATTGTTTATGTCTTTATAATTTGCAAAATTTGAAGCCATATATGAATTGGAATTTTAATCCATTAAATCTTTTTATACCTGAACCCATTGAAAATGGGAAATCAGGGTATAATAGTTTTGTTATTTATAATCTGCTGTTTGATTTGAGATTTGTCTATTTTATTTATTTATTTATCATTATTTATTTTTTTTTTTTTATCTAATTTCCCTTTTTTGGCCCTAAATAAAATTTTTTTTAAAGAATTGATCTGAATCTTTATTTAAATTCTGTTATAACTTGAAGCTGGATTACGTATCTTTACCTAAATTGAATTTACCTTAAAGTAGTTCTCTAACTACTAGTTTTATAATAATTAATTAAATTACTTAAAATAATTTTAAATAATTGCAAATGCCCAAAATTAACTTGTATTTTTTATTAGCATTTCAAATGATATTTCACAATTTTCTTCAATTTGTTTACGAGTTTCTCTTTCTGCATGACAAAACGAAGACAAACTAGAAAATCCAATCGTCTAGGATGAAGTTACTTAACCGTTAATTAATTATATCTAGAAAATTGCTCAACTTTTATTGCCAGCCGTCGCTAAGTGCTGGCAGCTTTTGAATAATTTATATTTTAATTGTGTTAGCTTAAATATTTATGAGTTCCTCTCAGGCGCTTTAGTGATTATATTTGACTAATTGCGGCCTTTGCCATGATCTGACCTAGTCGAAATATTGCCCATGCCTCACATAGAAAATACTTGGATTATGTGTTAGCAAATCGCTTTCTAGATCGTAGGCTGCGCGTAGCCGTAGGCGCTAATAGAAAAGGCTTGCCTACTGCCCGTATAGCACTTCATTAATTGCTAGTTCGCACATTTGTAAATCATAAATCGCCTGGTTGACCGAGTGAGGAGCAAATGTGGCAGTTGACTTGCATTGAGTCTGAATGAAGCCGAGAGCGAAATACTTGACTATTCGGTGGTGTTGACAGATATTCTCTATATATACTCTTTCTCTTCTACTGTATGTGTTACGTATGTATGTATTATAAATCCTTCACCTCTCTTGTCCCATTTACTGTTGCATGGCAGGCATGCGTCGTGTACCTAGGCCCACACAAATATGTATATAACAATTACATACTATCTATATCTATATATATATGTTCCTGTCTCTCTTTCTCTCTCTCTCTCTTTCTCTTTCTGTGTTTACATATATATATGTGTGTGTATGTGTATATATATATATGTTAATGAAATCATCAAAATGTGTTCAATATCCAATGTTAAAAACTCTTCCAACTCAACTCCAATTGTGATCGTCCTCCAAAATACAAAAAAAAAAAAAAAAAAAAAAAACTTCGAATCAGAGCGCGAATTTTCGAATAAATCTTCGCTAATACGACGCGGCGGCATCTGCATCTTTGTGGATGAAGACGAGGCCGATAATATTGAGCAAAAGCCGCGCGGCATTACCTTTGCCCCGGCCGCCAGCCCGCTGCCAAAGTGTCCGCTCTGTGGTGCCGACATCACCGTCGATGCCAACACCACCGACACCGCTACCGCTAATGCTACCGCCACCACCACCACAGCCACCACCACTACCACCACCACCAATACCACCAACGACACCAACACCTCAATCAGAGCAAGTAGTAAACGTAGTTGTCACGATCCGGCCTCAGCTACGGCTACGGCTTCGGCTTCGGCTCCGGACACGCCCACGCGATCACGCTTCTGGCACAATCGAATGGCGGCGCTCGCAGCGTGTTGGCACCAGAGCAAGAACCGGAAGCAGCGCTTCAAAACCGGATGTAGTCACTGTGGTGCAGCCGGTGAGTTGTTTTGTCATCTCCGCAACACATACTGCTCATTCGTACTCCCAACCGAACCACGCTCCCATCCGCTTTCTTTCTCTCTCTCTCTCTCTCTCACTCTCGCTCTTTCTAACTCTGTTGCTCTGACATGCTTAATCGCCATGCATTTCCTCAGCCAACACCCATTATCTATGTGTATATGTGTCATTCATTCAACTCCTCCCCACAAACCAAGAGTCGCACAGCCACCACAAATCGGCCACACTTGTAAATACAGATCACTCTTACTCTATAAAATGTTGTACAATCCCAATCGTTATGGTCGTTATGAATAGGTTTCTTTCTGTAATTTATTATATTATAATATTAAAAGAAAATGTCTTAGGAATAGGAGCAAGCAAATGTATAAAAGATTTCTACAGATCTAACCTTAGCTTTAAGCAAAATCCAAACTTAACTAAAACTTTCCCATGGGCTGATGGGAATCCGATAAATGGTTTTAGGAATCTGCATACAATTATATAAGTCAATAGCGCAAACTCTAAATGCATATCATCTTAATGAAATACCTAATTATTTTGGCTGTTGAAAAATAAATCATTGTTGAGCATTCCATTTTCTATTACAGCTCATAATTTTGAGTATTGAGAAAAAATTAATGTTGAGCACTTAATTTTCTATTATTAAAACAATATAATTCATAATCATAGACAACGTTTAACTGTGTAGAATAAAAAAGAAATATTGTTAAAAAAAATTTTTTTAAACATATAAGAACGTCTAGTCGTGCTTTCGAATTTACCACGACATGTTAAACAGCTCAATAGACGTACTTAGCACTGTAAGTCCGTGCAAAGAACTTGCTGATCTTAGATCTCTAGAGCTATACGAGATAAAGACTACTTAAGTACGAAAAACATGTATTTAATATTTAAATCGAATGATAAAGCAAATACATTTCCCATCTGCCACGCGACAGCCTACTTATATCAGCTTACATTGTATATAGATGTACTTCATAAATATCCAAATACATTATATATCATCCAAATATCAAGTCCCTGGCATGAGTTCATGAGGATAGCTGGTCAAGAACTCATTGTACAGATCTTACATAGTCTTTGCACCTTGTATATAATTCTAAAATATTGTCATAGATATCTAAGAGCAGTGCTCTGTATATAAGTAACAAAATAACTTATATTTTATAGTTTTACGAAATATAAGTATCAACAGCTATAATGGAAAGAAGTACCTATACATTTAACACTAACTGGCGAATGCCGCCTTTTTATATTGTTTGCTTGAGGTCCTTTTCGGTGCTGCTTGATGCTGTACATAATTGCCACCGTTATGCACGTGCATTTTCTTTTGCTTTCCCAGCCAACGTTTGCCTATTTCTTTACATTATCATTTCGGGCGATGAGGTCGTCAACTTGTTTGCCATTTCCTGTTGCTTACCGTTTGTCTGTTTGTCCGTCGGATTTTGTTTCATTTTGTTTATGTACTTTCACTTTTCAATGCTGTTTTTGTTTATGTTTGGTACGTGTGCGAATCTATGTGTTGGTGGGTGTGTGTGTGTGTGTGTGTGGGTATGTGTGGTTGTGTGTGTGTGAGTGTTGGTGTTTGTTTGTGTGGGTGCTTGTATCTATTCAAGCACTGTAGGATTTCAATTGTTTGCTTCGCTTTTATTACTTCTTCTACACACACACACACACACACACACACATAAAAACTCGATTACTCTCGTCTGGTTAAATGGCGCCGAACCAAAGTTGCCTGGCATCAGTTGGGGTTAAAACTCAGTGCTGGATTGTGTTTATCATCGATACAACAACAACAATAACAACAACAACAACTGCGACAAGCAACTACAGCAGCAATATTAATGTAAAAGTTAAACATGAACCGTCACACATGGCACAACACGCCTTGGCATATGAGGCATTCAAAGTATTTACACACACACATACACCCACACACACACAGCTAGTGAAACAACACTGAACAGAACCTATGCAGCTGCAGCAACGGTTCTAATTCTGTGCTAAAGTTCAAATTTAGCTTATCAGCTTTGTAACTCTCATCGAAATCTCATCATCTCATCTCATCTCTCTTTATCTGACCCGAACAGGCGGCTCGGTGCGACCCGCGAAAGGTTGGAAGGCCGAGCACAAGGCCGCTCGCACTTTGGGCATCATAATGGGCGTCTTTCTGCTGTGCTGGCTGCCCTTTTTCCTATGGTAAGCAATGCCCAAAGCTTTACATCTGCCTCGCTCTTCCTCTCTCTATCTCATTCCCTCTCGCTGTCAATTTGTATGTCTGATTATGTTTATATCAGGTATGTTATCACATCGCTGTGTGGCGCCGCTTGCCCCTGCCCGGATGTGGTTGTCGTGGTGCTCTTCTGGATTGGCTACTTCAACTCAACACTCAATCCGCTCATCTACGCCTATTTCAATCGGGACTTTCGTGACGCCTTCCGCAATACGCTCGAGTGCGTGCTGCCCTGTTTGGAGAAGCGCAATCCCTACAATGCCTACTATGTCTAATGCCTAGAGTCTATAGGTATCTCAGTATGCTGAGTGCGGATGTCGGTGTAAGTGATATTCAATACGCTCGAAGCTAATACCAGATTAAAGCTCTACTCAAGCGCAAAAACATCTTAGATAAGGCCCGGGAGCTAAGCAATACTCAAATGTGTGTTTGTTCTGTATACGTATTTTATTTATTGTGTGTATTATACCATAGTTAAGTAAGCTCTGGCTAGCTATATATCAATGACGAGTGTGTGTCTATTAGCTGTATACACATAAGTATATTTCTAAATATATACATATATATTTACGTAAATCTATGTCCCTAGCCTAAGTAAAAACGATTCTACAAATCGAAGCGAACTGCACGAGCCACTAGAAAATACGCAAGACGAGGAAATAAAACATATAGAGAGAATTATAACTAAGAAACGAATTGGGTTCTATAAGAAAGACCTTCCCCTATAAATGCTTACAATATCCATGATAAAAAAATATATATATAAAACTAAAGATTCAACAAAGTGTTAAATTTTAAACAAACTATCAAAAAACTAAACGTAATTGCAGATCAATATTATTAGTTAAAGGTATTCGAGAAATTGAAATAGAATTTAAATGTGCAGGGTGACCATAGATAAATCAATTGTAATAAATCAAAAGCCAAGTAAGATATTACGCGAACTTCGATTTTCTTTTATACGGAATATCATATCATTAAAAGGCCTATCGCTGCTTGCAGCGCTTCAAGCGTAAGGCTGAGTTTTGAATAATTCTATTCTATATGTGAGAAGCTATTCCAGCGATTGCGTCTCGAATGTTCAACTTTAGCTTTGGTAAAGTAGTAAACCTGCTAACGTAGAATAAGGACAACTGTTATCGATCACTTAGTCAACTGCTGAAATGAATTGATCGGAAGTAGTATCACTCTTGCTTGGTCACTTTATAGAATACCTTGTGACAGTTCGAAATAAAAAATAAGTTAGGCTGACAAAATGTCGGCTTATGCATAATCAAACATCTATAAAAAAAAACTTAAAAAAATAAAATAAAATAAAATAAAGAAAACAAGATAACTTTGTGTTAGACGCGTAAATTGAATAACAAATAAATGGAAATCAATTTCGTCATGAAACTAAAATTAGAAAAAGTTCTTAATTTAATTGTCTGCTTATTGACAATCTGCAAAAAATAAAAATGAAAATGAAAATTAATAAACAAGAAATTCAAGAAAATTCCAGAAAGTCAAATGTAGAGAATTGCATATTGAACATATAGCGAAAACACGTATTAAGTTAAGTTTCGTACGTATATATGGTTTCCATGTGTTTGAGTTAAAGCTACTTTTGTGATACCTGGTCAAAGGGAATTGAATCCAGTTTTTAGTTCCATTAGTTAACAGTTAATTGCGACCTTTGGTTTAAGGCAATGCGAAAGAAATGCAATCTCAACTAATATTACATATAAATATATATATATATATATACATAAATGTACTTATTTCTATGTATTTACTTGCTGAAAACTAAATAATTGCAAATTCAATTGTGAAACTAAAGTGTTTTAAAAATATATGTATAAAAATGGAACTTGGTGCGTTTACTTCTCACAGGCAGTGTACGGTTTTCATATTTATAAATAGAAGCCAAAGAGCGGTGCCTATATAGACATATATATAGAGTTTGCTATTTTGTTGGGTCGCACCAATCGTGCTGGTTCATGTTTGGCCAGTTTTGTTTCGAATCGCTCGCCAGATGCCCGACGCTCGCATCGAGTTCACCTCTTCGGAGCCACACGAGGGCGACGCCACCTGTGTGGCGTACTTCAATAATCAGCTCTTCTCCGGCGGAGCTGATGGCAAAATACGTGTAATTACTCAATTAGCCCCTTGGTTAGGTTTAGAGCGCTCATCCACTCATCCACTCAGCTGTCGCCCCTCCGCAGGTTTGGTCAGCGTCGCTGCAGCTGCTGCGCACTCTGAATGCCCACGATGCGTACATTTATTGCATGGCCGTAAATGAGGAGGGCAAGCTGTACTCGAGCAGCTGTGATGGCCAAGTTAAGTACACGTTGCCGCCGTACGAGGATGCCTCCGTGCAGGAGCTGTTCCGCTGCGACGATGCCATCCAGGCCATGTACTGTGCTGGGCCAGTGCTCTATACGGGCGACGACAAGGGCGTGGTCACCACCTGGAGTAACGATCGCATGCTCTTCAAGTACAACCTGGTTGAGGAGGTCAAATCACTAGCCGGGGAGCAGCAGCTCATTTACACAGTGCGCGACTTGGATGTGGTTATCTCAGTCATAGTCGAGGGCAAATCGGGTAAGTATAGCAACAAAATGGTCATACCAGGCAAGTCGCCTCTCACACTGCTCGGCCCACTGGTTGAGGAGAAACGGACCTATTTAGCGTTTCCCGATCGCACTGGCATGGGCTTGCAGCTGATCAATAATCTGCCACAGCACAAGTTCTCCCAAGTTTGGCATTTGCCGGTAAGTCAAGCATCTCTCAAGTTCTTTGGGCCGTTCTGACTGTTATCCGAATCGCAGCAATGCCATGACATGATTGTGAATAGTATATGCGGAGATGAGGATCACCTGTACTCCGGTGGCTATGACAACAAGGTCAAAGGCTGGACAAACTTGGCGGCAAAGCAGCCAACGCCTCTCGGCGAAGTGGATGTGGGCAGTTGTGTGAATTCTATTTGTTGTGGCGCCAACAATTGTGTTTATATTGCAAGCAGCGATGGTTTTATACGCTGTGCAAAATTTGTTTAAATCATAAGAGAATTAAAATTCTGATGGCAAATAAAATGAAATATTAAATATGACTACTTTCTGATTCATTTCAAATTATTATTTTAGCGCTCCACAGAGTGATATTGCAAGCAGCTTTTACCTGTATGCATTAATTGGGCAGCACTTTTGGTGCTGCCAGACTCTTTCAAACAGATGTGCAAACAAACGCACAAGCATTCATAAAATCATGTGGCAACACCAACACAATTTCTTCTGTTTCTGAAGAATTCCTCTGGATACTGCTTTAAGCGTATTTGTGCAAGGATCACCTAACCGCGACGATGACACATCCCGTCGCTGCAAAGGGAAAACCACGCAAGTATCCGTTCGTCAACATGCGTATTGCGGATAACTCGGTGCTGGACACAATCGAGGGCCGTCACAGTTGCCGCCACTGCAATCGGTCCCGCAAATTCTTTTGCTACAATTGCTACGTCCCAGTTGGCAAACTGGTTAATCTGCTGCCATTGGTCGAGCTGCCCCTGCAAATAGACATCATCAAGCACAAGAAGGAGATTGATGGCAAAAGCACAGCAGCGCATGCAGCAGTACTGGCACCCCACAATGTCCGCATCCACACCTATCCCGATATACCCGATTACAGGCAGGAGGATGGAGTGGTGCTCATCTTTCCCAGTGCCACAAGTCTCACGGTGCCGCAGCTCTTCGAGCGTGACGTCCGCTTAAACATCGATGACAATTACGGCCTGCCCAAGGGCCATCACATGGGCACAATGCTGCGTCGCCGCATGGATGAGATTGTTGGTGAAACGGAAGTGACGCAAAGCCCCAGGTGCTATACCTTCGGCAATCTGCCCGTACGCCGTGCCGTCTTCATTGATAGCACCTGGAACCAGAGTCGCAGCATCTATGCAGACGAGCGTGTGCGAGCTCTGCGCGCTGTGGTGCTCCAGAATCGTTTGTCCCAGTTCTGGCGGCATCAGCGAGGCAGTCCTCGTTGGTATCTGGCTACCATTGAGGCCATTCATCAGTTTGTGCTGGAGATGCACGTGAATGCATGGGGCCTCAATGCGGCCTATCGAGGCCTGGACAATCTCGAGATTACCGAGGGTTTCCATCAGCTGGCAGCGCCGCTCACGGTGGTGGCTCCCGCGGATTGTGAAGAACCCGAATCGCCATATAACGGGCAGTACGACAATCTTTTGTATTTCTTTGCCAATATGTACGATCTCATACACAAGTACTACGATCACAACGATCTGATATCGTATCGTCGTCCAATTTAAGCAAAAGTTTCTGTCAATATTTATTAAAGTGGAATTACGATTTACTGAAGTTACTTCCATTCATATGTCTACAACTGAAGTTTTATTTATTTATAATTATATAGCTACAACTATTTCTTTTTCTTTTTGCCTTCGTCGCTGGAATCACTTGTCACTTGCTTCTGCTCTATGTTTACCGGCTTCTGCCACTTGAGCGGGTTTCTGCGATAGATGGGCCATGGGGGAATCGTAATCTAAGCGAGTGATGGAGAATATAAGTTATTAATTAACATAAATGGTAATATTGGGAAACCACTGACCAGTGAAGATATCAGGAAGCCAACACCCAGCACGTAAACAGTTTGGGAGAACTGCTGCACCACGGCCCCATAAATGAGACCAATTACTCCAAAGAGTGTTATGATAATACGGGACCAGCGTTCAGCTTTGGCCTGGCCAACAAAGTCCTGAGAATATCAAATAGTTTAAGTGATAGAAGCCGAGAGCACTATATTTCACTTACCATATGTGTTTGTATATCAAGCATTTTGAGATTTCTGACAATT